CTACCTGTTCCAGTGGACGACCGCGATTGCCTAAAACTCTACGCCTAACCTCAGCATTGCTTGTCCGGTTTCCCCATCAGACTCGTGTAATGCTACGTAGACGAAGATTAGTCTCTTAAGGCCAGCTGTTTGGGCATCTCTTGGCTTCCTTTTCTATCCAAACTCGCTCCTGGAGAGGTCACTCGTCAGATACCACACAACAAACCGTAGTAAGGTAAAGTAAGCAAATGATAATTACCCATTAGCCGAATCTCATAGGTGCACATGATCAGTGTGAAGCAGCACAACAATGTCAACCAGGGGAGAAAGCGGACAAAATAGACAAGCGAGTAAGTACCTTTGGTTTCAGCTGTGAAGCAACCGTCCGGTTCCACGTCATCCGTCAGCATTGCATCGCCCACGGTTATGTTTGCCGAAACACAATCTGCCTCATCCAAGTGAATGATAGGCATCTGAAAGCGAACAATAACAGATAAGTCATGTGTGTGCGTGTGTGTGTGTGTGTGTGTGTGTGTGTGTGTGTGTGTGTGCATGCATGCATGCATGCGTGTACGAATGCAGATAGCACTTTCCTTGAACCCCGGGAAGTATGCCCAATGAATAGGCTACTTAGTTCATCAATGAGAAGTATTGAGCAACCACGCTTTCGTCAATTTTTGCTAATTGTAACACTACAGGGGATATGACTATCTTAATTGCTTTTCAACAGGGGAATAGATTTGAAATAACGCTTTCAGATGTGTGAAATCAGTCGAGAGAGAGAGAGAAAAACCAGGAAATAGAAATAATCTCACGCCACATTTGAGATCCACGGAAAACCAGTTGGGAACGTAGATCAGTTTCTCGTGCTCCTTGATCACGCTCTCGAAATCGACCAAACCAAGACGCTTGACCAAACGGGCCTGTTTTCGTCGAAGGTGCGGACCATTGATCCGATGTGGAGGAGGAGAAAGGAGAAAACGCAGGAAAAAAAACAGGAATAAGTTTTTTTGTTTTTACTATCATCAATGGTTGCACATCGAGCGGATCAAATGTGGCTGATCAGCAAACAAATAGCAGCGAAGAAAATACAATCAAGGGTGTAAGAAAGGCTAGGAATGTTACGTGTCCAACAGGTGTGTTAGTAGATCAAGTCGAAAATTGGGATAACAACAGGACCGGACTAGCTTGGACCGTGAATCGAACGGAACTAACGGTAGGAATGAGCATGAACAGAAACCTTAACGGCCCAGTGATCGAGTAAATACGACACGAATACACCCGACTGTGGTACCCAGAATAATTCCCAAGAGAACCGGTAGAACGCCCAGCGAGAATAGTACGATCCCGGAATCCAACCAGAGAGAAGACAGAAGACAGGCCTTTAGGTGATGTAGTAAACTTGACTCGACCCAAAAGAAGAACGGTTCAGGAAAACTCATCTGGTCTGATAAGAAGTGACAGTCAGAGCGTCATTGCTGTCAGTTCGTAGCCATAACCTTCATTGGTTCCAACCATGCGGTTTCGGAGTCTTTTCGAAGTATATCTATGACGTCCATCTACCGACCAATGGGCTTGTATGTCGATAAAAAATTACTGCATTATAAGTGAATGCTAGAATACAAGCAGGTTTTCAAATAAAAAGAAACTGTTATACACTTGAAGACTCAATACTTGCTCAGACTAAAGCAGTTTAGTAAATATATCGTCTGAGTTGCTTAGGTAACGATTAAGAACAACGGACCGGCGATACGTTTTTCTAATCACCGGCTACTTGCTCGCACAAGCATGGTGCCAACACCACAATAATGATAACAACAATAACAATAATAGGGGATGGGATACAGAACAGAGTGAAACAGAGATTAAACAATCAGTTAAAAGTAACCAAGAATAACAACATTTTTTTCTGTTTCGCCGTACACTTTTTGATATTTTTGTGTGCATTTTTTTCGTTCGGATACTGGTAAAAGAATGCACTAACGAGATCCTGTCTAACCACCAACCGTGTCACCTAATGTGTCGTCTAACTGTCGATTCGGCCGAGTCGGGAAACGCAAACAAAGAAGCGTAAAGGTAACAAGATTGAGCAGATCATAACGCTATGCCAGATAATAGTTTCATCACCACGGGCCACTCACTGATAGTCTCGGGGGAAAATCACAGCACCAAAAAGAATTCTTCACGAGAGACTCCTGTTTGACACATGCCTCAGTCATCGGACTGTATGCGGATCGATTGAGCGCATGCCTTGGCGCATGCCAACAGCAATTCAACAATCCATTTTTTAGCCTCGGCATAACTCGCCCTGTTTGCTTCAGAGGTAAGTACCGGTTATCACGTGTACCACTCGCTTGAACGCTTTCGGTGTGGTATTTCATCTACACCACAACGTGCATTGAGTGATTGAGAGACAAAACGTGATGCGTATAACGTGAGCAGGTATCCCTATTATTCGTTATCAAACGGTGATTATGGATACCGTGTAATGCGTGAACGTACAGATAAACCTGCATCCGATCCTTGAATTGACCGCTCGCATTTGTCGATTTTTCTTTATTCAATTGCTCGACCTTGAATTAACTAACTAGTTCTGCTCAAGGGATGCAAGTGATTTAGTTAGTTGTCATGACTGGACGAAGACCAGCCGTTTGATACTCCAAATAGAGGGACTCAAACAATTCAATGCCAGATAATGGATAATTTAATTTATTCACCTGTCACGTTTTGCCAGTTTTCTTGAAACAGCTTAAAATTCCCCGCCACGAATTGTTGAGTGACTAGCAGTTGTGTATCTGCTATTATACTCATTGATGAATTGATCGCTAAAACAGTGTAAACAATAAATCTTGTCTGATCTTGCTCATCCTGCAGATGGCAATCTATCCAAGTGTCACACTTCAACCACGCTGTACATTTTACTGCTTCCCCCGGTGCATTAACATTTAAAGAAACACGACCATTGCTTATCGCGCTAAAGACCTGGCAAACCGGATGCCAGTTTTCAGCTAATAGCCTTGATAACTTTGGAAGGTTAATTTTTGAAGGATTACCGCCCATTTCTTTTCGATGCGATGAGATGTGACCGTATGTTCAAATTTGGACCTTCGTCTATGCCACAGTTGAAACGAATTCAACTACAAGGAATAGGGTCGTACAGCACTACAAACACTGCATTTTGTGCGTTCCCGAGTAATAGCTTGGTAGGATAATCGACAGTGGGAAAGATTAGACAACGGTGGCATATATCCGATCGTTTATAGTTAAGCGCCTTTCAGGAGACTTCAAGGGTGACTTTATTGAACAAATATCTGGAGAAGTCTGTCTATCCTGTCTTTTTCGCTTTTTCTTACTTCTTTTTTATTTATTGAATATACAAATGTTCTGTCAGGAAGGGGGCCGCGGCCATACAAATGCTGCCTGGGGAAAATACAGAAATGCGGAAGACGGGCAGCGGTGAAGCGGTTCGAACCCGGGATCCCCGGGGTCACAATTTGGTGACCTAACCATCACCGCCCGAATGTGAACCCACATTAGGCCGCTAATTTTGTCAAATTGGATCATACGTAGTTTCGTCACGGTTTTCACCTACTTGCTCAATGTCGAACGTAACTAGAATCAGTTGGGACTATTTCCTTTTTACGGCATCGTGAATCGAACGATTGAAACGGTGAATAGTTGTATTGGTTCAAACATGCACCATCTAAAGTGATAGAGCCATTTGTTTAAGGTAATGACCGTCGACTGTGTAGCTCAAGGGTATGGGCTTCGATTCCCAACTCTAAGGTTCGAAGTTCAAGTCATGACAGGGAAAAACACACAAAAGCGTACACAGTGCTAACGAGTCCCAGACAGAACGAAACAACCGTCTAGCGCACTTGTCGGTTATCACAGAGATTTATAGCGTAGAACAAAAATATCAACGTATTCCCAATATTGTCTGCAAGACAATCAGCTGGTCGGTGCGAACATTAGGTACGCAGTGACAAGAAACGTAACCGTGACGTCCACGCACCGTGACGATCGCGTTCTATACTGTGTACATCCGTAAAGAGAGTTCGTCGTCGGTGGCTAGTGACTGGTGGACTGGGCATGAACTAGCACAACCATATGCACAGTAATCAATAAGCTGTGCTGAAGTTTACTGGCTAGGAGGATAATATTTGGCTTCTGAGTAGCGACACAGAACGACATGGACTCTATGTTATGCACAACTGTAAGCACCTCGTTCTCTCCCTCGGTGTTCCATTGATATTCTCAAACAAAAGATATACAGCACAGTTACGATTTCACCAGATATTCACAAAAACCAACATGTACAACAACCAATTCCAATTATGCCCATTATCGAAACTGACAAGTTCGATCAAGAATACGGAAAACGGGGGACGGTTAGGAATCGAAGTTTAACAACGGCTACAGTTGAGACAAGGCAAAGGACAGTGAAGACAAAACTACCATGCGCGGATGATAAAACAGACCGAATACGAAAGACTCACTTTCAACACATCGTAAATATCTACATTTCCATTACTGTCTTTTGTGAGAATGAATCGTTTCTCTGAGCACACATGGTATTGTATCACAGAAGGACCACCTGGAGAAAACAAATAGATACACTATGTTAAGGTCAGTCAAACAGATACTGTCGGGGTTTGAACACCACTCTATACGTAGCATTGCACGAATTTGGTAACCGGACAAGCAATGCTGAGGCTAGGCGCAGAGTTTT